CGGAGGGACGGACGGACGGAGGGACGGACGGACGGACGGAGGGACGGACGGACGGACAACGTGCCCGCAGAATATGAAGTAATATCAAGCTTGGAACTGAAGCAAGCAATTGCGTGTCTCCGCCGCCAGTTGTAGCACATGCAGGACACGGACTTTGCTTCTGCCGTAAAACTGAGTGGCGTGAGGTCTTCAGTAAGTTTCCCATTTCGAGTTTGCTACCTTTATTACAGGGGAGACATCTTCGATTATGGACATTGACTGATTTTTCAAGCTGTCTACTGTTGTAATTTCTGGCTAATGTGGCAATAATTTATTTTCCAGGAGGGAATTAATTTCCAGATCGTTGTATTTTCTATACCCGAGGTTCAAATTCACTATAACATAATCTTCTTTGGCTTACTTCTATTGCAAGTGAAACGGGACCAATGACTTCAGTTCACTACAACCCAGGGTTCACTATATCCGAGTTAACTACAGCCAAAATCGAGTGTATATCCACTTTACACGTTACGAGGGCAATAGAAAGGAGGATGGACAGACGTACAGTTCTGGCAACATAAATCAACTGGGCTGTCTGTGGTTACGTTCACCTTTTCCACGACTTGGGCAACTCTAGTCATTACGAAACGTTGCAGGCGAGCCTCACAAACAGCCGCAGCTAATCTCAAAGTGGGGAGTAGTGACCTAGCAAAATTACGTCGTAGAAACGGCGGACGTCGCTAGTTCAGATGTAGAAATATTTCTAAATAAAAATACATACAATGAAACACTGTCAAGAACATGAATATATAAACCACTGTTAACACAGTTGTTTTTAAAGAAATTATATTGATAGGAGATAAAATAACACTTATTTTAGGGCTTTCAATATTATTATTTATAAATATTCCGGACCTTTATCACATATCCAGTTTACTATAGATTTATCGATAAGAAAACTATGGTAATTGCAAGTTTGCAATTGTTTATATGTTTATAAAATTTGCAAAAATTGAAAAATCGTGTAGTTTTTGAATCGACAGATGTCTTCTAGGACACCATTTAAAACAAAAATCGCAAAATTCAATGATCAGGTACATATATCTCAGTTTTCTGCTCTGGGACATAATGGGCCCCTTACAACTTAAAAATTGAAAAAAAATAATTGTTTATACAGTTTTTAAATTTTGCAAAAAAAATGTTTGCCTTTCATAAATTGCCATTAAATAAAATGCAAAACTCTGCAATCCGATCGGCACTATCGTCTTTTGTTTTCGAGATACGTAATTGTTTATAAGAAATTAACATCTTATGACTTTCTATGAAGACACCTTAGAAGGCTTTCTAAGAAGACTTCCGGGTAAGTGAGTGTTATGATTCGATTACAACAAGATCCACCTATTTCGCTTTCAAACGCGTGGAGAAAGGAGGCAATATTCAAGGGGAGGTATTTCTGGGAGCCAATTGCTGATTCTTTCTTGCTCCCAACTTCTGAATCCGTCAGTAGCTGACTCTTGTAGTATTTTTAAAATCCATGCGGTAAATATACAATGGGAATTTAAAGTATTTAGAATAATATGAAAAATTAGAGAGCTGAAATCCAGAAATATCTAACTAGCAACAATGTTCATGGCAATTTATGCTAGTGTGCTGGCAGTATGTCTGCTCCACCCCCGATAGGAACATCAAACTTATGTCGCGAAGAAACAAAACGAGCCGTTTGTAAAACGGCTTGAAGAAAAGACTTGCGGGTAAACTACGTAAGGATTGACTGCCAAAAAATAGGAGTTTTCATAAGATGCTAATTTCTTATAAACAATTACGTATCTCGGAAACCAAAGACGATAGTGACGATCGGATTGTGGAATTTTGCACATCGTTTAAAGGCAATTTAGGAAAGGCAATATTTTTGCAAAATTTCAACATTTATAAACAATTATCTTTTTTCAGTTCTAAAGTGGGAAGGAGTCCCAGAACAGAAAACTGAGAATTAACAATTTTCAACAATTAACATTTTTATAATCAATAACGAATTCCAAGCAATTCCTGCCGGGCGATGTCCCAAAATTATCACTGAAATGAACATTGCAAAATAACATTGATAAATAACAAGAAATAAAAAATAACAAGAGATGCAAAATTATTGCTTATACTTACTTTATTTGTGGTTAAAATACTATATATGTATTTGATCTTTGAATTTTATTGTTTTTGTTTTAAATGGTTCCCTGGAAGTCATCTACCGTTTCAAAAACTACACGAATTTGAAATTTTTGAAAATTTTATAACCATACGAATAACTGCAAACTTGCATTTATAATATTTTTTCTTAAATGATAAATCCATAGTAAACTGGATTATTTATAAGGATAAAGTTCCTGGATTATTTATAAACGATAATATTGCAAGTAAACGTGTATGAGAATGTAAATGCTCTAAAATTACTATTATTTTATCTCATCAACGTAATTTCTTCAAAAAATTGTGTTAGCAGTAGTTAAACAATTTATTTATTTTCATGTTAATAAAAGTGTTTCATTCTATGTATTTTTATTTGGAAATATTTCCATATCCGCACTAGCGACGTCCGCTACTTTCTACGACGTCATTTCCCTAGGCCACTTCTCCCTTCTTTGAGATTGGCTGCGGCTGTTTGTGAAGCTCCGCAAAGTTTCGTCCTGACTTGCATGAGCTGCCCAAGTCGTGGAATAGGTCCACGGAGCCAGAGATGACCGGGTTAATTATTGTTGTCAGAGCACACATTGACGGAGACGGACAGAC